GTGTGGTTGACCAAACAAGATCAAGAAACAACCTTCGCAAAGAGTTTGTACAAGATAAGTAAACACATTACCTCCCTAGCCCCAGAACGTGAAATATTTTCTGAACCAGCCAAATCGACTAAATTTAGCTTGCCACATTTTATGAGTTCTTCTCCTTCAGTGTTTGCTTCCTTGATGTGTATTGTTATGGAGAAAAGAGAATGTGAACGACTGAAAAAAGAAAGAGCATTGCTTCTAACATATTGAATGCAACATAATAATAATGATGGATTCTACAAAGAAACAAAAATCAGTACCTTGATTGCTTATTCAGCAAGGTTTCTGCAGTCCGACGTTTTGCTGATCCCCTTTCAAGCAAAGTGAATATCTCACTAGCACTTGTAACAATTTCTTCTTCAAGTCCTCTCACTAATACTCCACCTTTTCCATCTTCCATAAGTGGCAATTGTTTCTTTTGCCTATCTTCTACAGAAACTTTTGATAAATCATCAGGGGCTAACAAGTCAGTGATCTCTTCATTGTACAACTCCAAGAAAGTTACTTTCACACTATATTCTGCATTTTGACTCTCCAGCATATCAAAAATTTGCTTGACTGCTCGAGGTATAACTCCTGCTCCTGGAGGAAGCTCACTGTTATGCCCACTCTGTTACATCAGGCAATCACAGGTTAGAAACAAATATCGTTACATAAGCTTCTACAGTGGGATTGAGGCACAAGGCCTGTCAGCTAGTACCTTAGACCTCTTACATTCACCTTCCATGGTGTATGTTTTACCTGTACCAGTTTGACCATAAGCAAAAATAGTACAGTTAAATCCCTCTAAAACTTCATTCACAATGGGGATAATTGCCTGATCATAAAGATCCCTTTGCTGAGCAGATGGGCCAAAAACCTGAACAGAACATAACATGATAGGAGCATGAAAAGACCATAACTTAAAACATAAGACAAATTATAGCAAAATATTGGCATTGAACATCTCATGGCAAAAGTGCTTACATCAGTTTAGGTCAGAAATTTCACATGATAATGCTTTTTGTTAAAGGGTATCTTAGGTGGGCATTTCCATATTTTAGCACTAAGAGCGATATACAACTTAATAATGATAATGGTAACTCACCCCAAGGATGGGGGTAGGGGAATTCTCTACCACTGAACATAAAACAAGTCGGATCATATTATTTTTCTGTTGTAAACAAGAACAAAAATCACTAATATTTCAGACAAGCAGTAAAACCAGAAATCCACTCTGAATTAAGGATGCTATTAAAACAATGAGATATCAGTAGTATTCCCTTTCTTTAACATAAGAAGTGACCCACAATATATGGGAGTGAGGAACTCTGGTTAAGTTGATATCTCACCAATAGTTATTGTAGTCCATGGTCAGTCTGATTAAGAAATAGATGATCGATTTGAGAGGACAGGCAGTAGTTCTTTTCTTAATTTAGAAAGGTGCATAAGATCAATCTATAATGTGGATGGTGATGTCAAAGACTGGCATTGGCATGACAAAAGAGCTACAAGTGAGAAACGTTGCAGGAGCAGAGTTACAGTCCAGCAATTGCTTATCTCCCCACTGGAGGAATCTCAGCCCTCAATTTACTTTAACCAAATCAACTTGGGACTCAATGACAACTAATTGGTATGCTCAATGAAGTAAATAAGAAAACCTGGAAGAAGAATCTAAAAAGAAATGCATCAGCTCAGAGAATAAATGAATTAAATGATCTGACTGACATGTTGCTGAACACAGTTATCTCCTAATATTCTCTGGTTTCTGGTTATAATTTGAGAGAGCAGACATAAAGATAGGATAAACAATCACAGATAATCTCTAGGGATCAAGGCATCTATTTCTTTTACCGTCTAGTTGTACTCAAGCCCTTTAATCTTTTTCATCACTTCTTCAACCAAAAAAGGAACATTAGGAATGAAGGGTAAATACTTACTCCCACCAGGTGTTTAGACCAAACCAATGGAACTTACCATGGTTAAGTGCTTTAATGAAGCAATTATAAATTAATTAACCATGGTTAAGTGATAGTCGTATATATTCAAACACATGCCATGCATCTATTGATTTGGTGTAAGCACCCTATGAGAGTAAGTTTTTACCGAAATGGAGCAGTATTTCTTCTTTCATGGAAACATGGAAAGCCCTTCTCGTGTAAAAATTGCTTTCTTCTTCCAGGTCTATGTTCAAATACAAGAGCAATATTTATTTTCTAACCTAAATAGAGCAAAGGAAAGTAGATTTTAGGTTCTATAATCACACTTAGAATGTCTATGGCAAAGGTTTCTTCTTTCAGGTTTTTGTTCAAACACAAAAGCGAAAAAGCCAATACCATTAGTTCAAATAGGGGTAAAAGGGAAGACCTTCAAATTCCAAGTACCAATTCAAAATCAATGCAAAAGCAAAACCAAAATGAACAACAAAATTGATTCCAGTATACTAACTAGATTTCAAACAAAAAATGAAACCATTTTGTAATCAAACAGTAATTACCTTATCAAATGTAAAAACCCTATCTATGTGCTTCCCAGCAATGTTCTGTGAAACAGCTACCTCTTTTTGGTACTCATTGCAAGTCACCACTTGCGGAGCATTATTCCGCACTTCATCCTCACTAAACGGCCTATAATACATCAAATCAACAAAATTAATCCATTTTCGACTTAAACCAATTAGCAATCGGGTCTTAAATGATCAATATAAAGCATTTATGAGTAATTAACGAAAATTACAAACGAAATGATAATAATTAGTACCTGCAACGAAGCAGAACTTGAACGTTTACACTTTTCTCCTTCTCATGGCGATTCGACATTTTCAAAGGGGTCGATTTTTAGAGAGAGAAAGTTAGAGAGAGAAAGAGATTAGCCGTTTGTGTTTGGGAAGATCTGAAAATGGGAGCGGGATGAAGAGGAGAATTTGAATTTTTTGGGAAGACGCTCTTGATCATCATCTGACCGTTGATTTTGCTAGAATTCAGATAAACGGTTGAGATGATTTTGGAATTTCAGATGAGGTTGCCAATTTATGAAATCATATACCGGGTCATGTTCGATTTGTTGTCCGGTTCGGGTCTGGCTTCTTCATGGAAGGATTCTAACATGGGCTTGTATTTGAACAAAAGCCCAATTGCGAAAGAAGGTAGTTTGTAAGTCTTTTTTTTTCGGTTGAGAAACTATGTAACTACACAAATATATCTATCATACATACTAATTTAATCCACACTCTATGGTTTGAAATAATTGCATATTGTCTCACCAATTAAGAATTTCGTATCATATTTCAAATCAAACACCACTCCTTCAAATTCCCCCTTGCTCTCTCTTTCTTTCTCTCGCTCGTTGTCTCTCTATGTGCAGGGGTACGTACACTGATGAATGTATCAGCGTATTTTTGACACCAGATACATTCTGAAAATATAGATACACAAGAAGAGAGACGAGTAAGAGAGTGAGCTATGAGGCTGTCAATGTCTCATATTTATGTGAATCACGCTTGGATACAGCGTATCTGAAAACATGTATCCACCAAGATACACATAAGAGTATCCTTGATGTGAAAGCACGTAATTAGGATCTAAACTTACGAAGTTTGTATTTATTTATTTTTTTGTTTTTTGGGGTCAAGCAAACATTAAAAAATTGAAAAATATTTTTCAAAATAACATGTTCGTCCGCCATCCGTAACCAAACACACCCAAAGAGTGTGGTGGCCGGTCCTGATGGGGGCATATTCGGCGCATGGAATCAAACACTAAGGTTTGCTCTAGAACTAACATATATGCAGCCTAGCTAGTAAGTAAAGTATTAAAGTGTACCAACATGGGTTGTGATGCATTGATGAGAGTGTTTCACCCTTAACCAGAGGTCTCGAGTTCGAGCCTTGGGTATGGAGAAATCCAGTTGGGAGCGCCACCCCCCGAATGGACCCTACAGAGCGCGATCCAGATTTAGTCAGAGCTCCAATGTGGGCTTCCGGACACCAGGTGGGAAACCAAAAAGAAAAGTATTAAAGTGTATAATGTTTAATTAATTGACTAATGCATATACAATGTATATGTTAATGTACGTATTGATGATAACGAAGTGAATTACTTTAAAAGAATATTTGCAAACATCTTGATCGTGGGTAACAAAGAGTTTCATTCCTATACCGCCGGCCTTATTGAATTTGAATAGGCAAAGTTGTATATGAAAGTTACATTTCTCATTAATGGTTGTCACTATAAATTTACATTGCAATTTGTTGACTAAATTAAAGATCCAAAATTGATACTTCTCTCATCTTATTCGACACATAATAGTGGAAACAACATTTCTTCTCCATAAAAATAGAGATAACGTAAGCGTATATTTTATTCAATCAAAACCTTGCTTGTGGTACAATAATATACATAGACGGAGCTAGAGACCAAGTTACATGTTTAGTCAATTACTTTAGTAATTTTGATCCAAATTTTGTATTTATCTTTAAAAAATCAAGAAATCCATCTAATAGGGAACCAAAAATTTTAAAAAGGCTAAAATCTTATTATAATATACAAGCTACATTCTTCCCTAAACAAAATGTACTTTTGAAAACCTTCTGTCGAACCTGAATTAGATTAATATAATGATCATATTGCAATATTAGTATTTGTGTTTGATAATTTGTCAAAAATTCGAGCATTGCGAAATTATGGCATATGATTGCATATTTTGACTAGTAAAATGAATATAAATTAAAGATGGCGAAATTGTGCCGAATAGCAAACAGTTATATCAAATGATATAGCTATTATTTTGGGAAATTCTAATCTCAATTTACACAAAAATCTTGTCCTACCAAATCTCATGGTACAAGAAAATTGAACATTGAAATAATTAATTCCCTATTCTAGCTCATGAATTCTAAGATCATTTCTTCATGCTATACAATAACAATAATAACAACATATCCAATGTAGAAAGGTTATTTCTGATAGATCATCTGCTCAAAAACATCATGCTACTCTATATGATGGCACTCAAAATGTGATCCAATTTTAAAAGTTACAAAAACATTCTATTTTCCTATGCTATTATTCATATAACAATATCTACTACAAAAACTCCTCCACCAACTCACCAAAATCAAACTTCCCATTGCAACATTCCACAGCATTAACCACTTCTTGAAATGCATTAACACTGCATGGCACCACCAATCCATTTGTTTGATCAAACCCAAACTCATTGTAAGTTTTCTCCAACAAAATCTTGAACAATGGATGAGAAAGATAGCTCGTTGGAACGATGAATCGTTCTCGTTCTTCCCCCACATAGATGGCCAAATTCCCTATTGGTATTGATGAATTAGGGTTAGCTAGTGACCATTCTTCATTGTTTTTGTTGTCCTTAATAAGAAAGTATTCATGAGTAGGACTTGTTATTGCCTTAGCCTTCTTGGCTAATTTCTTCATTGAAATAAATTTGTTCATTCCTAGCATTTTAATTTCCCCTTTGAATAAACTTGGATTGGAAATATAAAAGGTAGAAGAAGAAAATATATGAAGAGAAGGAAAGTTAAAAGGGAAAGAAGTTCCTTGAGTAATATATATCCACTAGAAAGGGTGGGTGGGATGGTTTTTCTCAAAGAAAACTATGATTGTTAATGTAGTGTATTAAATTTATATATTATAGATATTATTTTATGTATTTTGGACTTGTCAATAGTTTAGTGCAATTATTAGTAGGTATAAAATCGTATAGCCTATCTAACCAAGAAGTTATTTTTTATTGGATGGTATGACTCCCCAAATATAAAGGGATAATAGCATTTTCGGACCTTTATTGGCGAATTCTGATTTTGATCCTTATAATATATGATTTGATATATTTAATTTTTAATTAATTAAAATATGTGTTTGTGGTTCCTTTACGTAAGAAATTTATTGTATTTGAATCATTTTTAGAAGTATATTATTCTCAAATACGAGCAACAACATAAAATTAATACAACGCATAGGTAATAAAATATTAAATTGTGGATTAATCATTAATAATACTTAATGATTGTGAGTATTCACAAGCGACAAGATCAAAAAGTCATATTTTAAGTTAAATATATTTAGTCAAATATCATAAAAATTAAAATTAAATTATCAATAATATATAGAGGGATTAAAAATGCTATATATTAGCACAAATATAAATGTAGTTGGAACAATACAAATTCTCAAAAAAATAATTAAAACTTCGTTAGGTAAATGAATGGAAGAGATCAAGAGTTGTTTATATCAAATACTTGTAACCACTTATAAGGACTCCTTAAATCAAATATTAACAACTACTTAACTAATGAATTAGCATAAAAAGAGAACTTGGATTAGTTATAACCAACCTATTCTACCAAAAAAACTAAGACATATAATAGTCGTATAATTGAATGAAGAATATAATCATGGTTTAGTTGAAGAGTTAACTTAATTCCTTGCCTTTTGTCAATCTAAATAAGAAAATTAAAGTTAATAAGGATTTTCTATTTACAAAACTCATCAATTTGTTGGACGGCTTGTACGTCAAATCCAAGAAGCCTTTATTATAATATTAAAAGTTTAAAACCCTTTCAATTTTATTAGTCACTTAATTAGGTGTATAAAATTAGTCGAACTACCAAACATTGAAAATGAAAAAACAGAGACAAGAAACTAAACGTGCATACACATAACGTGTGGAGAGAAGAGCAAAACTTTTTTTTTTTTTTTTTAAAAAAAAAAAATGGCATATGCATTAACGAGGGATTAGACTTACTAATAAAGTTTTAGGGTCCCTAATGACATGTATAATTGGCTAAGTCATCGAAGTGAAAGAGTCACGTGACAATCTTGAGTTATAATTTATATCAAGCGATAGATAAAATACTTTTAATTGGGTAAGTCATCGAAGTGAAAGAGTCACGTGACAACCTAGAATTACAATTTATATCGAGCGATAGATAAAATATTTTGTAAATGACTTAAATACATGACAAAATATTATAAATAGCAAAGTAATCTTGTTATTGAGATTTTGTGTAATTAATTAACTTGTTGTCACGATTCAATGTAATTCAAAATTCATCGATGATGGAAGAATGACGGTACTTTGTAAGATGACAAACACATACTTTTCAAAACAGTTGTTTATTTTGAAAAAGTATATTAGATGTATACAGCTGTTTTGATTTTTCTATAAAAAAAATTTGTGTGGAAATAGCTCACTTTAAAATATGACAGAAGTCAAAATTAAATAGAATATTCTTTGTGATTTTGACTTCACTCGTTTGTATATTGATGATGCCTAACTTGTGCATATATATGATATATTAAAAAAAAAATATGTAATGGTCAGTACGAAATTTTGTACCTGATTCTTGGAAAATGTCATTGCAGAATTTTTATTATATAATATATATATATATATAACCTTCCATAAGATTCTTGTTTCACAAATCAATAAAGTCAATAACAAGAGTTGCCTTTGAGAGAACGTGTTCAGAATAACGATTGAGTTTGTTAATATGGTTCAAGGACACACAAATTATAACATCAAATAATAGGATTGTTAATGCAAAATTCGTCCTACATGGCATTTTATATGGTAATTTTGTGTTTTATGTGGCATCCTATGTGTATTCTGTCATATATATAAGACTCGTGTGTTACTTATTTAATTTTATACAAGTTTAAATGTCTACTCATGCACAATCAAAGTTAAAGAGCATAGATATCAATTGAGCTCAAGTGGTCAACATAACTTTAAACTTGACCTCAACTAGCATTTATGTTCTCCAAGTTTGGGTGTGCACAAGTAGGTACTTAAACTTATATAAAATTGAACAAGTAGACATTTTTGTTCTACGTGGCATAAAACACGTAGAACGTCACATAAAATGTGAATTGACACATATGATGTCATGTAGGACCAATGTGTTTACTTGTTCAACTTCATATAATTTTAAATGTCTACTTGTATATATCCAAAATTAAAGATCATAAATATCAACTGAGGCAAAGTTAAAAAATACATTTATATATACTGCGACGGGAAACAATTGAAGAAAAATGGTGTGCTTAAAGTTAAACCTTATGAACCGTCTGTTCTGCCCCCAATAATTATGCATAACCCTCATCAATATAGGTATCGGATATGTGAAGAAATCAGTACTCTCATTTTTAGCCTATTTAAAAGACGTACATCTTTTCTAATTTGGTAACTTTTGAATTTCAATATTGCATGTGACATGTTTAAGACCATAATATTAAAATGTATTTTGGTAAATTACATATACTTTTAGGTTAAATATATAAGATTTAAAAGTCTTATTTAATAATTTTCTTAAGATGTCTGTCCAGTCAAACTAATACAAATAAGTTAAAACATAAAGAATAGTATTCTTACGATGTTATGATTCTCAACCCACTTCATTGATATCGCCTTGTTATTTCAGTCCATTTTCAGTTTTCATTACAAACCCTGATTGTATGGAACTAAGAAAAGTGATGGTAGCAAAAGGAGTTAGAATTATAATTTGAAAATTCTTATACATTATGCACATATATTTATCTCCCAAAATTACTGTCTGCTTGTTGTTTTAAATTTGTTCTTGTTTTAATTTTCTGGATGGGCAGAATTGTAGGCAAACTTGTTCTTCCATTTATAGATTGGAAGGTACGGTAAAGCACAATGTTTTGACTTTTACTATACAATATATCTTGTCAAAAGTCCTAAACAATATACACTGATTATACAATATAGCTTATATATACATAAGTTATACACTGACCATACATTATGATACAATCAAAAAATTGAGCATAGTTTAACTATATATGAAATATACACTAATTATACATTAAGTATACATTGACTACTCAATCTCGATCAACTCAAGATCACCTCTATATAGTTCTAAATTATAGATATGACGATATTTTGAGTTTTAATTTAGATAGAATTCACACGAAACAATTCACATTTGCGATACGTCAAATTTTAAAGAAAAAGGGGAAGCAACGTAGAAGAATAAAAAGATGCCGAAGAACAAAATTAACTCAATTTATTGAAATTGAAATCAAATCCACCAAGTGGCTAGCGCCAAATTTTTGGAGCTCGAAAATGAATATCGATCGATGAGATCAATCAAAGTGCTTTATACTTCTTTACTATTTATATAGATTGAGTTAATTTGTATCGACGAAATCACAATTTTAGTTGACATCATCATTTTTGCGGAGTAATGACATTAATAGTTAATAGTTATGGAGCATAAATGACCATTTTTTTAGATTATTAAATTCTGATTTAGAGCTCCATTGTGTTTCTTTGGAACTTTTCGCAGTCAAAGTAAAGGTTTTATTTAATCACAAAAAATACTCGTCAGGGCTAATTTAATCACAAAAAATTTAAAAAGTTAGGATTGTCTAAAATCATATAAAATGATTAATTTATTCTCATCCCTTCAATGAGGGACTCAACCGTCAACACACTCCACACACCCATGACTTGATATCAGAAGCCACTACTAAAAAAACTGTGAATACCGACCTATAAATACCGACCTCCGGAGGTCGGTATTCCTTGAAATACCGACCTAAAACCGACATCCCAGCTTAGGTCGGAAAAAGCTTGGTCGCTATTCAATACCGACCTCTGGAGGTCGGTATTTACTGACCTCTCGAGGTCGGTTTTTATTTTATGTCGAAATATTCATTTTTTTAAATTCCGACCTCTAGTGGTCGGTATTTTTATTTTTGTAATGTTGAAATTTCGACCTCCGGAGGTCGGTATTTTTATTTTTGTATTTTTGAAATTCCGACCTCCGGAGGTCGGTATTTTTATTTTTGTAATGTTGAAATTCCGACCTCCGGAGGTCGGTATTTTTATTTTTGTTGATGTGTAGTTAAATTATATATATATATATATATATATATATATATACACACACACATATATATATATATAATTTAACTACACATCAACATATAATATATGTATATGTATACATACATATATATACATCTATGTATATATATGTAAATTTATTAAATTAAAATTCTGTTGATGTGTAGTTAAATTATATATATATATATATATATATATATATATATATATATATATATATATATATATATATATATATATATATATATACACACACATATATATACATAATTATTTTAGTATAAACTCACCTCTTGAGGTTGATTTTATTAATTAAACATATATATATATATATATATATATATATATATATATATATCTATCTATATATATGTATCACATTAAATTTTAAGAACACAAAATGGTCCTCCGGAAAACGATTTAAATAAAATTAAATCAAAATAGAAAATAATACCGACATCAAGAGGTCGGTTTTTATTGTAATTCATTTTCTGGGAAAAATTCCGACTTCTTGAGGTCGGAATTTGGTTTACCCGCAAATCGCAAACCGACCTCCGGATGTCACTTTTAAAAGTAATTAGATGAAATAAAAATACCGACCTCCG